TCCCCTAAATAGATCTAAAACAGTTCCTCCTGTTGGACTAATTTGTAGTTACCAAGACAATTTTAATATGATGAATATGTTAGTGATGAATTGGGTAGCTTAGAACCATATGAATATGATGATGATAAATATAAAGGGAATAAGTTTGAAAAGTTTAGGGAATAACTGATTAATAAGGACTACTAGTTTAAGTGGAGTGTGGAATTTAATTATTTAGCTCATTTTAGAGATGTAATTCGTGAGTGGTCAGTATTGAATGATAGAGAAGTTATCTTAGTGAAAAATAAGAGTTATAGGGTAAGGGTAGAATGTAAGGCTAAATGTTATTTTTTTAGTTTTATTCTCTAAAGTGGTCCACAAGCACACTTATGCTATAAAGACATTAGTGGATACCCACACACGTGTTAGGGTTTTGAACAATAGATCTACAAACTCAATATAGGTGGACAAGGCAATGGTGAAGAGAATTTAAACATCTGAGAAAGTGAGAATTTGTAATATTATGCAAGATATAAGACAACTATTATGTGGGAATTAATGTTTCTAGAGCATGGAAGGCAAAGTTAATTGCAAAGAAATTTATTGAAGGAGATATTGATAAGCAATATGCAAATTTATAGAGGTATATTACTAAGTTAACAAGGGTTAATAATGGGAATAATGTTAAGATAAATGTTGACATACCAAACCCATAAATACAACAAAGGTTTGGATCATTCTACTTTTGTTTTGATGGTTGTAAGTATGGCTGGAAAATGGGCCGTGTTGGACTGTTTTAGGCCCAAAAGTGAGACCCAGCCCGCAGTTAGTTATATATGGCCCATTTCCGCCCATTTTCTAAAACAGTTTGAGCGGGTTGGGTTCAATCAGGCCACGGGTAAATTCGAGTGGTTATTTCAAGTTATTGGGTTGTACTTATTTTTTGACCCAATTGCAATTCTTAGAATTTTTAAACCAAATTTAACATTAGACTTTAATTAACAATGACATTAAAATGAATAATAAAATATTATACACAATAAGCTTAAATCCTTCCCCACACTTTTGAATCATTCCAAAAGTAAACATATTAATTTTCCAATACAAACAAAAACCAAATAAAATAACTTTAACATCATTGAGATTCATCTCTAAGGCCTCCATTGTTATGTTTTATCCATATAGGCCAAAATATGAGCCAAAGCGCTCGACTCCATCATTGGTCTTCTTTGGATTTGGACCATCGGTTGTAACCTCCGACAGTCTCATACTCCCAACTGAACTCGTGCTAAGGGTGTAGGTTTATTGAATAGTACACCTCACGTACTTTAAAGTTAAAACCTTCTCCAGCATGTCCACATGGAGAAATGTTCTCCAATTTCAATCAAAGTTTACTCTATCATCGTGGTTAACATTCGCTCTGAAAAAGCTCTAATCCGCTTCTATGTGCTCGAAGATCCTATCAGGCTTCCAAATGGTGATCCTATGATACATGGACGAAGGAACACATCATACAACATCCTACCACATCAACTTAAATAACTCCCAAGGTCTTGCTGGTTTTCCTTCATAGTAGGACAAAACCATATTGTTGCAGGCTAGATATGTAGCGCACTTGCCTATTTTTTCCAAGAGGGATTGTGGCATGACGTTGACACATGCTCCACAGTCAATCAAGACCTTGTTAATCCCTACGCCATTTACGTTGGTCCTGATGTACAAAGGCTTCATGTGTTGTTGCATGTCCATGTCTGGCCTTTCGAAAATGGCGTGGTCTTCATCCACTGAGCCATCATTTATTACATAGTAACACATAGGCTTATGGGTGGATAATTCTTCGTCGAGACCACATTATTCTTCGGTCACTTATGTGATTGTGTCATAATCTAATGGAAAAAAATATATCACATTGCAAATTATATCTAACTTTGCTTCAGACCTTGAGTCGAAGTTGTTTGCCTCCATGTCAACATCTCCGTCTGTTTTGGCCTTTGCTTAATAGGCCTTTGACCAGATGGGCTTCATCAACAACATGAATACTACTCTCTTTTCTATAACTTCTAGCCTTTCGTGCAATCTTTTTGTTTCTCTAGTGTCTCTTCCATTGAGTCTTGATCATGAGATTTTTGTTAGAACAAGATTTGGTTCTGCATCTAATCTCTAGTTTTGATGATAATAATGCATATACTTATGTGTAACAATTTTGTATTTTAATAGTTTCTTTGAGTGTGCAAATAAATCATTCTAATTGATTCGTGATTGTTGTCTGAAGAATCATCAGAAATATGTTGGAACCATCAGAAGAACTATTGTATTCACTTCTCAAGAAACATTAGCAGTTATGAAGAATCTTGAATGTTTGCTAGAAGATGATATATGTGTTTACTCCAAATCAGAAACCAAGATGTGCTTCACAAATAAGCTTTTACTTTCATCTCATAAGTCGAGATGGGTTTCTAAGGAAAGAATTTATGTGTATAGATTTTGCTTCAAGCTCAGAAATCAAAGAGGGCTTCATCAGATAAGCTTTTGCTTCCAGCTCAGATATCAAGATTTGTTTGTCAGATAAGTTGTTGCTCCAAGTTTGAAGACAAGGTTCTGATTCTGAAGACTCTGATACCTTTGGAAATATTACAATGAAACATCTTCTAGAATATGCATTATTTCATATCAGAATAATTCCATCAGAATATTAAAGAACAAAGTTGTGATCTCTTCTACATTTTATTCACTACTTCAAATAAGATGTATCTCATAAGAAGAAAAGATCAAAAACTTGCACAAAAAGAATAAGTATAACACTATAACGCCTATTCTGCTATTTGTGAAGAATGCAATATACCGTTAAAGATTTGGTGTGCCCTTGTCTCCCGTAATCAAATGCTTCCATTGTAGCAGCTGGCAGATGAAAGCAACGTTTGTACTATCCAACAATCTTCTTTCTCGGCCTATATAAAGGGATGACTACTTCATTAAAAAAACGAACACCACAACAAAGAAACGAAAATGATTTATCTATCAAGAAATTTGAAAAGAAGAGTTATTGTGCAAAGATTTCAAGAGAGAAAATACTTAAGAGAAAAATATAATACAAAGAGTTGTTGCTCATTTTTGTGTTAACTTTTATTCTCTATAATATAAGAAATGTGGCTCGCTATTATGTTATTATCAATGTTATATACACAAGAGTTGTTGCTCATATTTGTGTGTAAACATTTACTCTTGATTGTAGTTGTAACGGTGAAAATCGGAGATCAAGCTATTTAATTAACTTCACTCGCAAAAGCAAGAGTCGCCACCGCGCATTATCATTTCCAAGGGAAAAGGGAAAAGAATGAAATAAAACCCTTAAATGTGCAATATAAAGTAATACTTAAAAGTAATGAAAATACAATGCATTTTTGAAAGAGATCGAAGGTTCGGGGGTTGGTTATACAATGAGAAGGTACTAGCACCCAATGCATTTGCGGTACTCTACAGGAACCTTTTGAAAAATCTGTTTTTTGGTTAAAGTCGTTTGTTTGGTTAAAATGGGTATGAATTAAATTTTGAAGATACGACGACCTAGTATCGAAGTTTTGACTTAAAAGAGTGTGAGTTTTAAAATTGAGTCTTTTAGGAAAATTGACTTAAGATTAACAAAAAATAGTAAAATAAAAATGAATGAAGGGATTCACACAATCGTATAAGATGTATTTGATAACATGAAGTCAACAAAATTAAAACATTTCCCCTTGGAATTTATACGAACGAACAAAATAAAATGGACGTCAAAATATAAACATTCGAAAATTCACAAAGAAATAAATCTAAAGAAACACATTAATGACCGAAAGACCCCGAGAAATTAAAATGCCAAAGATATTTAAATATAAATAAAAGATAATTGAACTAATTATCTAAATTCAAACTCTAAGATAACTTACTAAAATAATTCTAAACTAATTACAAATTCTAAAGTTATAAAAATAATTTTAAAATTACTAAATTAGATCTAAACTAAATTAAAATTCTAATGTTATTAAGTTAAATCTAAATAAAATAAAATTCCAAAGTTACTAAACTAAATCTAAATCAAATAAAAATTTAAGATTACCAAACTAAATTTAAATCAAATAAAATTCTAAAATTACTAAACTAAGTCTAAATCAAATAAAATTTCTAGAGTTATTAAATTAAATCTAAATCAAATAAAATTCTAAAATAATTAAATTAAATCTAAATAAAAATAAAAATTATTAAATTATTAAATTAAATCTAAATAGAAATTCTAAAGTTATTAAAGCTCTAAAATTACTAAATTATATCTAAATTAATTTAAATATAAACTAAGTTAATTATAAAATTCTAATCTAATCTAAACTATATTAATAATAAAAATACTAACTTATATCTAAACTACATTAATCTTGAAGGTACTGAACCCAGGTCCTCATGTGTTTCACTTACATACTCCAGCCACTACACCGAACTGTTCATTCATTATATTCTCTTAATCAAAAACTATAAAATACAAAACTTGCGAAAAGGGTTGGGCTAGGCCCAAACCCGGATCCAGGTTATCAAGAGGGATTGGAGAATTTTCTGGAACCCTAGTTTGGAGAAAAAAGAGGCGCCGAAATTTCTTGACTTCGGGAAGGGGAAGAATTTAATTAAGTTTATCGAATATTCCCTAGAAAACATGTTGCTTTCTCCCTCTCTCAGAAAACAAATGCAACGCTTCTCTCTCACTCTGCTCATATCTTCTATACCAACAACACCTCTACGTTCATCTTTAATTTCTCTATTTCCTACATCTTCAACTAACGCAACAACTTTCACACATCACTTCAACTTCACGAATTCCCAGCCACACATATATTCAATAATACAAAACAGTAACAACATGAACACATATCAACGCACAGATTTCAGAGAAGAAGAAAAGAAGATAAGATCAAAGCAATCAGAAATGAAGCAGTGAAGGTGTACTTGAACTCAACGTGTATTCATCTTAGTCACCTCTATCGTCGAGGTATGTAATGATTCTTCCATCTTTTTCCTTGCTTCTTGTTACCAGTATGTAGAGAAGAGCATGTGGATTAATAACCCTGTGGAGTCAAAGCCTAAAGCTCCATCATCAACGACAGAACTGCTGATGCTCTTAAAAAGCGTGAATAATGCTTCGACCTCGCTGACAGTGAAAGTAGTCTGTGATGCATGAATCACAGGATCCTCCTTGACAGGAAACCGTGTTGTTGGCTTAGAGTTGAAACAGCCCATTTACAGAGGTTGTCAAGGCAGCTCGGTACAGAACCAGTGCTAGGTCTAACAGTGTGATGAAATTTGAAATGTAGTTGGGAGTTCAAAAGGTGGCGGAGAGGAACACTTTTTATATCAAGATTCACGAGGTTGTTTTGTCCTAGTAAAAATTGGAAACGGCGAACTTGGTTGGTGTATAGTGAGAGGCAGAATTAGGTATTCCTGATTGTTGAGCTAATGGAAGTGAAGAGGATATTCCTGTTGATAAAAATGAAATAGGTCTTGATAAATGGTTTCCAGTTGAATTAACAGTTCCTGGAATTTGTCCCAAAGATGATGGTGATCTCGGTTTTGAGCAAGAGTTTATGTATGTCTATGCTTTAGAGAAAGTTTTGAGTAAGCTTTCAACAATATTTTCTATTACTCTTTTCTTTTAACGTTTTATGACTTATACCCATTATAGCAAATTTGGAAGGCAACAAATTTTTTAGCAAAATCAGACAATCATATGGCACAAAGCAAGTGAAAAAGGTAACTATGTAAATGGAGATACAGTGTAAGTATATCAAACAAATATTGATGTATAAAAAATGATTGTTGAAAGATGATGGGAAGAATGTGATACCTATCGGAGTCTCTCTGATGGAGCTTCAAGAGATAGTAAGTTTCCTTCTTCTATTATTGCTTCTGCTTCTCTTCTTCTCTATTTCTCAATTTTCTGTCGTCGCGGTTCCTTTCTTTCTGTTCTGCCTGGAATCTTTTTCTTCCCTTTTTTCTGTTGCAGGAATCCTTCTTATAAGCCTGTTGTAGTGACTTTGGAGAGAAATTTTTGGTAACTTTAAACAAAAGTAGTATGCTCTGTTCTAGCTTTCTTGATGGAGCTTTTGTATAACTAATTTCATGTAACTCTAGGCTTGATATGGTACAGGTTTGGACAGGGTTAAGGGCTGCATATAGGCTGTTTTTGGACTGGTGTATAGTTAATTCTGATCTTTCTTTTACAGGGATGATATGCAGAGTAGACAACATTTTGGACAAATTTGTGTGTTGTAGCATGGCTGGAAATTGGGCATATGGTGCAGATTTGGCATAAAGTGGACTGCAAGTTTTAAAGAATGGAGCTTTAGGAGATTAGGATTAGAGTTTTTATGTACACACTTATAATTCCTCTTGTAACTTTGTAATAATTATGAATGTAAATTTATGATAGGCTTCAAGTCAAATTTTTCCTCCTTGGTTTCGATCTCTTGTAATTTGAAAACTTGAATGAATCTTGAGTTTTATGAATGATATTTGGAATGATCTCGTTTGAAAACTTTGGTTGATGACTTTTGCAAGTTAATAGAATAAAGTCATATGGAGTGAGTTCTTGAATTATGATGTGACTTGTTGGATATCTTGAATATCTTTGATAGAATTTTGGGCATGAATGCACTTAGAATAACATTTGAATGGAATACAAATTTATTCTAAAACTTCGAGAATTATCCATAAGAAATTTTGTAAATTTCCTTGAATGTTGTTGAGTGAAATTGTCACTTAACTTCCAAGCAAAACCAAATACGTGAACATCCCATCTTTAGAAATCTTGATCCAATTAACTTGAAGATATAATCGAAGAATTTAAATTAGTTCTCATTTCTGAAAGACACCCTAATTCAATCCATAAAATCAAGTTAATCGTAACAAATGAATGTATTGATTACCACTTCACTTTTGTTCCATGACTTGATAATCAAAATCAAAATATTTTCTTGAAGAAAATTTTGAGAAATGAATGTGGACATACGTATAACCAAAATAGCTTTATCATGAAAAACCAATGAGTCTCAGTTGATGAGTAACTCAAACTTCATGGAGGAAGAAAACTCCACTTCTCTTGATGGACAATAGGGAAATAAACCCTACCCAAAGCTCTTGGTGAATTTGAATTGGAATGACAACAATGTTATGAATACCAATATTCCACCCCTCATCTTTTATACCATAACTCAATACTTTCTCCCCCTCGATACTCAGAATATTCTCGACTGGACGCACTCTCAGTGGAAATGCATTAAATAAGTCTTGGAGATGAATGATACAACTTGAAGTAAAGAAGTAAACGCGTCCATAGAAAACCCTAATTGAGGCTCAACGCCTGATGCCCTTGATTCAGACCTGTCTCTGCACATGACACCAAAGAAACCAAAAACATACACCTTTGTATTTGATTAGAAGTTAGTGACAAATAAGATAAAATGTTCATAATACTTGATAATCTATGCACAAGCAATGCTTGAAGATGAGAGAGTTAAAATTGACCATTTTTTGTGACCTTGATCTTATATGAAAAATGCAAATGAAGATGGGATCTTAGGTCAAAAGTTGGGGTATGACAGCTGCCCCTATTTAAGTTTCTTCTATTCATATATATGAAGATTGAAATCTTCGTCTCAACCAGATTGAAGGTACATAAATATAAAATATGTAATTTTTTGCCCTAAGATACCGCCATTGTGTTTATGATATGAATGTAATATTTGAATTTTATGGGGAATGATGTCGCATGAGACAAACAAATGCTGGAGAATCCAAGCAAAATAATCCACCGGGGAAGAGATTATAACTCTACTGGAGAAACAGAGCCACAGACTTCGAATGAGAGACTCTTATTGGGGAATAATTTCGAGAGAAAATATTTTTCTGACTCTAACAAAGAAAACGCCTTGCATAGGCCACGAAAAATAGATGGCTACTGACCCAAGATGACAATGAGTTTACAACTCAGGGTCAAAGGTAAACAAAAATATACACCAACTCTTACTGATAGTGAACTACTGACCTTTACTGAAGGTGAAACAAAGATGCACCAACTTTTACTGAAGGTAAAATACCAACTCAGGGTTGATGGTAGAACAAACAACATAATACTGACTCAGAAATGATAGTGAATGTCAGCCTTGAGACTGGTAAGCGAATAATTGATATCAGCACTACGATTGGGGATGAAATGATTTACATCATTACTGCAACTGGAGAAAGAAAATAGTTACATCAGTACTGAGACTGGTAAAGAAATGATTTACATCAGTACTGAGATTGGTGAATGATTGGCATCAGTACTGAGACTGGAGAAAGCTCAACTCTATTAGGTCAAACTCCAATAACGAGAAGAAAAAAAAAGGATACTGACTAGCAAATGAGTGAACTACCAACTTCATAGAACAATAACAAGTTTCCCAAAATTCTGGAATTCCACCTAGAACGGGTCTCAACTTCTTCTTTGATCAAGATATCACTCAAAAAAGGTAACATACAAACTTCTCTGCGAGACTTTTTCGGAGATATTCCATTTATTGTCGATGAGCAAACTTCTCAAAAGAGATTCCATTTACGGGTGAAATAACATATTGTTAGGGATACACAAGTTGCTCAAATAAAGAAGCCGCCACTTGTTGTCTTCCAAAGATATCAATAATGCACAAGCTGCTCATGAAGAGGCCGCCACTTGCTATATTCCAAAGATATCAATAATACACAAGCTGCTCATGAAGATTTTGCCACTTGCTATCAATAATACACAAGTTACTCATGAAGAGTCCGCCACTTGCTATATTCCAAAGATATCAATAATTCACAAGCTGCTCATGAAGAGTCTGCCACTTGCTATATTCCAAAGATATCAATAATAAACAAGATGCTCATAAAGAGTCTTCCACTTGCTATCAATAATACACAAGCTGATCATAAAGAGTCTGCCACTTTATATATTCCAAAGATATCAATAATGCACAAGTTGCTCATGAAGAGTCCGCCACTTGCTATATTTCAAAGATATCAATAATACATAAGCTGATCATGAAGAGTCCGCCACTTTCTATCAATAATACACAAGCTACTCGTGAAGAGTCTGCCACTGTCTATATTCCAAAGATATTAATAATACACAAGCTTCTCATGAAGAGTCTGCCACTTGCTATCAATAATACACAAGCTGCTCATGAAGAGTCTGACACTTGCTATATTCCAAAGATATTAATAATGCACAAGCTGCTCATGAAGAGGCTGTCACTTGATATCTTCCAAAGATATCAATAATACACAAGCTTCTCATGAAGAGTCCACCACTTGCTATCAATAATACAAAAGCTGCTCGTGAAGAGTCTGCCACTTGCTATCAATAATACACAAGGTGCTCATGAAGAGTCTGGCACTTGTTGTCAATAATACATAAGTTGCTCATGAAGAGTCTGCCACTTGTTGGCAATAATACACAAGCTGCTCATGAAGAGTTTGCCACTTGTTGTCAATACACAAGCTGCTCAAGAAGAGTCTATCACTTGTTATCATGTTGAGATTCCAAAAGAGTGTTGCAACAACACTATTGGGAAACAAATTTCATCTTCAATGGGAAACCATGAATAGATTCTTCCCGGGAGACCAAATATTTAAATATACAAAATAAATGCACTCTCCATCTAGGTTTCACATCCTAGAGAGATCCACGGGGTAGCTTCTGCAAGAGATAAAACTCAATCCATGAATAAGCTGGAGAGAAAATAGTCAAACAAGACTCCACCAAATGAGGAAACAACTTAATTGGGGATTTATCCTATCCAGAGATGGAAAAGGAAAGCTAAATCAAGATTCTTCCACGAGAGTTAACTCAGTGGGGAATTATAAAGGATGTACACTTTCTACTTAGGTTGACACTCTATTTGGAAAGAGCAAATACGCTATTTGAATAGACATAAGCAAGGTATATGAACCCAATAACATCATCAAATACGAATGTGCATGCATGATGCAAGTGTGAATGAATAAATGAAAGTCATATATATGTTTGACAAAACAGATAGAAGAGATAAATTGGAGATAATAAGACATCATAGTACAACCAGATACTCGAAAACCTCAACAAGATGAGAACATTACTGGAGATAGAATAAAAGCCATCGACGGAGCATATTTCTGCTATAAGGCTCTAATCTCTCTGGAGAGGAAGATATTTTTCGGGAGAAAGCCAAAGTCCAATCTTCTAACATCAATAATCCATTAAAAGGAGAATAACATGAACTCTGCTGCAGCTAGAGAAAAATCATGCTTAGCTGGAACTACTGGGGTACACCACCATCTGATAATGTTTGCAAAGTAGGTCATATATCTTGACAAATATGGATTGCCCCTGGAACTAATTTTGGATGCCCCGAGTTTACTGCTAATAAGTTGTGTGATGTATGACAATTCTTGTGAATAACTTCACTTCTAAAATGCCCCAAGTTATATGGTTGATAAGAAGAAATCGTCTCAAGAAGATTTTAAAAAGGACCTGGCGTCCAAAATGATCTAGTGTCTTCAAACTCTTAAAGAGATTCGTCGAATCTTGACGTGACTGCCCCATATTGACTATATTTGGCACAACAGAGTTTTCAAATTTTCCCTATGAGGATGAACGAACTATGAAGGCAACAACCTATTCATGCTGAAGTTCTTCAGGTGACATGCCCCTGGCTGTGACCATTTTTAGAAATGATTCGCCAATTACTTAATAGAGTTTTAGACCTCAAAATATTAAAATCTTCATTGGTGCTTATATGTAAGCTTCCTTGACATTAAACAAATATTTTACAAGCAGGAAAAGTTTATTCTGAGAATGAAAATTCTAATGCAACAATTATGTAAGTCTTGAAGATTTTTTTTTGAAAAAATGCCGCGAAGCTTGCGAATTAGTGCATTATTTATTTTTGTATGAAAGATAACGAAAGCATATGATACCAACAAAAATATTTTAGCAAAACTTATGGGAGTCAGGAAACACCATCTCGTTGCAGTATGCTTTTAAATAAACTATGTTTCAATTAGGACTTTTGAGAGTTGTAACGTGGCCTGGTTCACAGTTTTAGAAAAAATATTTTAAGGCTCAAATTATTTGGTGCCCACCCCCTTCATGATGTTCTTCAGCCCTATATTCAGTTAATTTGATACAAGCACTCATCTCCCGAAGGATTTAGCTGATAGTTGATGAACCATTGATATTCTTTGGACACAACAGTCACTCACTCTTGACTTTTGTCACACGACTCTGTTCTTTGTTGAGGATTTTATGTTGTA